AGGCGTGTGATCGGCATTCCCGATTTGCCCAAGCAGGGAGCCGTTGTTGTGCCGCAAGTTTAGGACGAACCTCTGAAAACTGAAGCTTTTCTTCTTACCCCTCCGGTAACTTTTGGCATATGCAAGTTCGCCTTCAGAGAGAAAAGCCTTTCCTCTTCATAAAGTTAGTTAGCCAGCACCTGCTCGCTTTAAATTGGCTCCGCATTTGCCCTTTTTCTAAGGCTAGCTGCACAGCCTGCACTTGGAGCAGTTCTGTCGTCACGGGACGCTGTGCCGCTCACTGCTCAATCACATACTCACCAAGCAGCTCTTCAATTTGCGGAAACCGACCCTGCTGTGATCCGCTGAAGCCTTTGCGTGAATCTTTGCTGTCGACAATATTCTGCTTTTGTTTCCGCCAGTCCCGCACGCACGTTTCGGGAACTCCGAACGACCACGATGCAGCCCGATTTACGTCCGTTTCGGCACACGCGATGACTTTTCTTTTAAAAGTGGCATTGTGGTGCACTCGTCGAGTTTTTGGAGTCGGCTCTTCCATGCCGTCGATGCTAATGCACACCAAGATGACGAACTCCTCAGCACACGTACGAAGTGCCGCACATGGGAAAAACATAGGCAGAAATGGCCGACGCACGTAGAGGGTGGCCGTTTCGGAATGCCGATGGCAATAGAATGACCGTATTCATTTTTTTTTTTTTGTACTTGATTCTAACGCACATGCAATTTATGAACTCGCTTAACCGAAAAAAAGGTGCGCGTTAGATTCGAGTAGTTATGGTAAATTGACATAATCGAAAGACAGTAACAATCATAAAAAAAGTAGCTGATTCATCATAACCTCGTATGCATTATCGCAAGAAATATGTAAGGGAACGTGTGAGTGCACAGAAAATAGCCTTAAAATCAATGTTAAGACAACTCGCGATGTCCGTTGTCGACACCACGATTCGTCTAGCCATAGACACTACCACCTGTTGATACCAAGTGGCAATACATTGTGTGTCACTGGTGATTGACAATAATGAGGTGGGAAAACCATGCAGAGTGTGGCAAGCGCAGCAGAGTGTGACCCTTAGCTCCACGCAAAATGCCACTGTTACTATGCACTGCCAAACATTCCTTTTGTGCATGTTTGTGTGTGTATCACACACAAAATCAAGATAAAGTAAAACAGCAGTACTGCTCAGTGCTGCACATGAATGAAACAACAGGTGCTACAATACTGTCATGTGGCCATGGCGTAGACGAAAGCAGGAGTCTCTACGTCCAAGATGAAGCTGTTTATTTGGCTGAACTTGTAGCCAGTAAACGGAAAGTCAGATTAAAGCAATACATACTGGCACTGATAGCAGCATGCTGGGCATTGGCCATCGATAATCTGATCTCTAGCAAGCTGCGTGGTGGGAGTGGCCACAGTTCGCAGAAGAGCGCAGCCCTTTCTACTTTATTTTTGACAATGCCAACCTTGAATCAATCAAATAGAGACTACTTACCATACACACGTGTGTTCCCACCCATATTGCTCAGTATAGCACTCGGTCGTTCTCATGGTTTGAAAAAAATATATAGAGGTATGCGAATATTCAAACTAACTTGAATATTCCTCAAATATTCGATGTTCACGAATATTCGTTCACATATGTCACTGTGAAGAACTTACGATCTTGCACCTAAGAGACTCAGTAGATCATGCAGTGATTGCTGCGAATGCAGTGATGACTTCATGAAAATTCATGGGAGCGTGATGACGATAACCGATGAATGCAGTGGCATGTCAGTGCGACAAACCTACCAACGATAAACATCTCAATCAATCTATATCATGTGCTGGCTGTTAGAGTTCACGTAAGCGTACCAACGACGCCGTCTGCTGCCGCACCCCAGTGCATGGGACTGCAAGTGCATATCGCTTGTGGAAACAAAGGCAACTCGCCGCCACAGCATTGGCTCTACAAAATAGTCTTCACACCTTTGCTCAGTCCCATGCTGAGCGAGTACGAAGAAAAAAAAAATCTCTACGCAAGGGAAAATGCACACGTATATGTTACAAGGTGCGATGCTGATGAAGTGAGTTTAGTAGGCGATGCACTGCACGGAACTAGCTAGGGGCGCACTCAGCTTGACGTACGATGGTAATGCGTTTCATTTATAGTCACACCAGTTTTTGCTAATGGATCTCCGTACAAACGTACGTGCAGATGTTGAATACAAACGAGTAGTCCATCAGCTGTGCTGCTACATCAGCATGTAGTCTCTTCATAGTTCCGGAATTATTTCATGGTAGTAGGTACGGTGATGGAAATGAGTTGAAGTGTTTTTCCGCGCCATGCACTTTCGGTAATGTTACAATGGCGTCATCACGTATAGTTCTCCGTTACTAACGGTGGCGCACGTAAGGTGACAGACGGATTCATGTGTAGCTCCACTACATTGCCTACAGCGCCTTTGAAAATCCGTCGCACGCGCATCGCCCTCACGCGGCAACGTCTCCTGCAATCAACACCGTTGCTGCGATCTGGCTCTTTTGCCAACGTCGGTTCACTGCCGTTGGCAGCCAGTGTGCCAAAGGGGGCCGCGATGTGACAAAACAGTGCCCTCGCCACCGGGAATTAACAAAAAGGTGTATTTGGGGCATCTTTCTATCACATATCAGTAATCATCAATTTCGTGCGCTTACCTCGCGTTATAGCTGCACGCCCGGTACACCTTGGTCATGATCGTGCTGCTATCAGCACAACACAGTATTATTGATCAGATAATTGCGAGCGCACAGTCCTCGAGAAAGGCAACGGCAGCAAGCGAGATAACGAAAATTGCTTTGTAAACAAAAAACGCCCCAAGGTACTCCTATTTTCCTTAGCGGCTTGACCGATTAGAACAGGGGAGAAAATTAAAAACAACTATAAAATTGGGTCTTTTGATTCGAAACTGATAGTGCGGGAACCTGAATGAATTGTGACCACCTAGGCTGCTTTCATGATCACTTAGACTTAAGTACACTGGTGTTAACTGTTACACAATCAAACCAGTGACCTCATGCTCACTAGTCATCATGGCAGGTGCGAAAGCTTTTCTTTTTTTTATATAATAAAAAAAGATACAGAAGATTTGCTCAACAAGTAGATTGAACCCAAGACATCACAGTCACAAGCTCAACAATTACAGTCTTATGCTTTCTGGCAAGTACAGATGGCGATACTTTTTACATTTTTGTGTGTAACATTTTGTGTGTAACAAATAGTAACATTTATGCTGTTTCCAACATAAATATATGATTGAGTAAAAGATTAATGTTGGAAAAAAATTGCACCCCTTCATTATTCGATGTTCTATTCGTATTCAAAACTATGTATACTAAAATTTTGATATTCATACACCACTAAAAAATAATGGTAATAATAAGCAAGTACAGCCTGTATATATTTTTTTCTGTGCCTGCTAAGCTGTCAAAGATTTATGCTGCATAAGACATAAAATTAACATCTGAGACAGAATACTGAATTCTGTACCCACATAAAAATTAGTGACTTGCTAGGGGAGTGTGACATGCAAGCTAACCTTAACATGTGAAAAATCATATACAGCAGACTCTAGATCGCTCAAACTCTGATCTAACTTTTGGTTAATACAAATTTTTATTTTTTGGTTTGCCTGCTATGTTTTCAATATATTTTTAAAGATACTTGATTCAAACAGCTCCACTGCATGAATTCAGTCAATTCATACATTGTACTCATTCATGACTGAAAATATCTGCTGCCTTTGTTGCTTCTAGTTGAAAATGAACATTTTCGCATCACTAATTGTCACAGATAAAACTGATTGTATACCTCCACCCAGCCAAACAAATCGAACTATGCACACCAGCAGTCACATGTTGGTCTGACCTTGGTCTATCGCATGCTAAATGCTTCATTAGACACTTTCACAGCAGTACACTGGTGTCATGCAAAAAAAAGTGTACTAAGATTGGAACCCGCTTCACCTAATTTCGCACACCTGTTTAGCTCAGTAACCACTATCTTTCCTTCTCTCCCCTACTTCCCCTTTTTATTTTCATGCTTGTCCTTTGCTCCTCTGGCTTTTGGTTGTGGAAGAATGTATGAAGTGTATATTACGCATATGCGGAAGAACGTACAAAGTACATATTACGTATACGAACTAGCACTGAGGTAAGCAGTTGCTACCTTGAAGGAGACAAGACCACATGTCAAAATGTTGGCTTTAAAGACACCTTCGTTCAGGACTTTTTCATGTCATCAATGCTGTTTGACAAGCAAAAATACAGCAAAGAATATTACATGATGGAGTTTGCAATGCCTCTCATGTGTTCACGATCAATTCACGACCATGGAAGCAGAACCACGTCAAGAACCATTTTGTGACCCCTACGTCCCGTAGGGGTCACAAAATGATAAGGCATCTGATGCAGAAAAAAAATAATCTCGCTTAATTCATAGCACGGTTCCAAATATAGCCCTAGGTATGCTTGTATAACTTCTGTTTAGAGCAAAAAACTTGGATTATAATCAGGCAAATATGGTACCTGTGAAACAAGATACCTGTGAAACTAAATATTTTAAAGGTGGGCCAGTGTTAGATTGAGAGAGGTGAACAGGAATTCAAATGCGCAGCTTTCAATACAATAATTACCACTGATGTCATCTGCTACAAAGTCATTATTACGCTATCAGAAAAGTCCTTCATTTAATTACCATTTTTTGTAAGTCTGTGAATATTTTATGTGGTCTCTTTTAAAACTTGTGATTTTGCAAGGCTAGCATTGTTTTTGTCACAAATAAACATCACAATTGCCAGCTGCCTTAAAGAAGCATCACTGAGGTGAGAAATGGGCCTGCTATCATAATAATTTATAAGTAAACGTCCATAAAGTTTCAGAGAGTGGCTTGGGACACAAGGACTACTACAAATTTGATAAGTAGTGCCAAAATATAAAAGCAAGTGTAAAACTTAAACGTGCGATGATTAGTCAGACATGCCTGTGAATCAGCCAATGCCCATAGAGTGAGTCTCTTCTCCCGGGGAGCCAAGGAGGCCAGAGCACCAAGAAGGTTACATCCCTCTGGGGAGTGCACGAGCAGCAAATGTCCTGGCGACAGACACCGTGCAGCCTGAGGTTGTGAAAGTATGTGTTCCCAGGCAGTGACTCGTGCAGCAGCTTCTTCTTCCAAAAGCTCAAATGGCAGCTCTTGACATGTCGTGCACACAATAGGTGCCAGTGAGCTCAACTCGTTCTCCAGGGATGCACAACGCTCAGCTAAGCTGAGGCTCTGACTCTGCACAAAGAAACCCCCATACTATATTCACTGCTAAAGACAGGGGAAAGCAATAATTCAGGCCAAACTACACAAATGCAAGTCCACACAGCAGTAAATGATGGCTCACTGCAGAGATCTAAAATTATACTCTGTCTTAGATGTTCCCTTCAGCACTGTGAAGGCTACAAAGCCCCTTTAGCTAATCAGAAGGGTGATTAGCCCTTCCACATGTATTCATCAACGTTGCATCATCTGCTCAGCTTCTCCCTGGCATCTGTTTGCCTGCACAGGGCAATTAAAGCAAACCGACGATAAAAAAAAAACACCAGACCTGCACGCAAGGCGCAGCACAGTCACAGCAAAAGCTATAAAAGCGGTCTTTCAGAGCCTTTCAAAACACTCATTAGGTAACTACTGTAAGCACACTTGCTTGATACCCACTAGGACATTAATAATAAAATTTTTTAGGTAGTAGGCCGGCATTCGCTATGCTATTTTTCACGCTATGCTATTTTTCATCATTCTTTTGAGAAGCGTCGTATCCGCTAAACATTTGCAAGGAATTTTGTGCCAATTGTTCATGTAGTGGGTGACACCGATGAGAAATTATGGCTAAAGTGGGTATGTGCCACAGTTAATAGGGGAACAAGAACAAGCTTTTGTAATGAGTTGGAGCATTGGATGACCCACTCGTTATGCTATTTGCATTGTGCGACGACTGATTGTTCTTTTGCTGTCTTAAACTGCTTTATAAGTTGTATTAACACGATTGCTTTCTCGACATCAAGCCTGCCTAAGGCAACTTTTCTAACAAGTCTCAAGCACCGATGTGGCTCAGTGGTAGAATACTGGGTTGGCACTCAGCGGACTTGGGTTCGAGCCCCACCGTGTCGTTGGTGCTAGGTTTTTCTTTTCTACATTCGCATGATGTGGTTACGGACACCGGCAGCGTAGGCGGTGATGGGGGACAACTGCGTGTGACCCGAGTTGTGATCTCATAACAGCTTTTGGTATAAAAAACATGGCTGCACCTGTTGCAGCTGCTGCACTCTGCATTGAATTTATTGTCATCGTGTGCTGCGTGACCCTTAAGTTATAATCTGATGCTTGTCTTTGCTGTGAATTAATGTGTTAATGCTTCGGCAGCGATGTATTCGTGACTGTATGCCTGTAAATCTAGGAACCAGTATCGAATTCTCGCAAGCTAGGTTTAGTAGGCGTGTCTGAACAAACAGCTGATCTCACAAATAAAGACAAAATGTACCTGGTGGTGTGTCCTCACCTTAAGACGACACAAAGCGATGACTCATTTTAGTATTTATTTTTTGCTGCCAGGGCAGCGGGCAAATAGCAAGTGCAAGATCAGATTGAAGCAGTCAGTCGCGTCTGCATGAGCACTGCGCTGCCATATTTGTTTTGTAACCTCTTTTACCAGTGTCACAAACGAGCGCTCAAAAAAGTGCACACCCCCGAATTCTAACCACTACATGAAATCAAGGCGCCAGACTGACGGGGCAGAAACCGGCGAAAAGAAGAAAACAAGCATCAAAGGGCTCCTTGGGCGCGCCACCTCTCCTCCTCGAAGGTGCCGCGCTACGCTGACCAACCTCCTTGCATCCATCACTGAGCGACCGCCAGAGTCATCAAGAAAGAAAGCGTGAGTTACTCCCTAGTTTCGTCACGTGTCGCGGATGGTTAAAAAAAAAGTCCCGCCCCTTCCCCAGCTTTGGCTGTACAGTGCCCCGATGAACCTTCCAGAACCCAGGGGGAACATATATAAGTGAGCAGCGGATGGTGGTGAGCAGGAGATGAAGAGAGTTTTTCCACCGTAGGGCGAAGGCTTATGTCTTCAGTGACAAAGCAGGAAATTAAGAGGTTTCCACCTGGGGGTGAAGGCTGGTGCAACGCCTCCTCTATTTAGATGCCTGCCGCATGAGAAGAAAGACAGCTGCCACACTCTTTCCCTCCTTCATTTTAGAATGTTCTCGGTCGCTAGCGTTACCTGTGGCGGACGGTACAACAACGCAATGCTTTGCATAGCCTCCGAAACAGTTGTGCACAGTTGCAGGTCTCGAACAACTCTCGACTGACGTGCCCCTATGGGCCGCAGTTGAAAAACAATTAGCTGGTACCGCCCGCTGCCGTGATGATAGTGTCGGTCGCAAGCGCCACCGCACGGCGTTTGTTTAAAACAGAAGGCAGGCCAACCCCGCTGGGTGCGCGAGCCATTCCTCAGGCATCTTTCTAGAGGAGGTGTTAGCTGGTGTTACAGGCAGAATAAAAGTGTGTATTTACCGCCAGTGAACAAAGACGCGTTCTGCAGTCGCAGCGCGTGAGTGGCCGACATGTTACCGACAAAGAAGTTTTCTTATTGGAGTGCAGACATTTGACGACGTAAGGTACCCGGAAGAGAAACATCGGGAGCAACAGAATGACGATCAGCGCCAGACTTTTGACTGAGTGGTTCTTTGAAGAGAATCATTCAACTTTGTTCCAAGAACTTTAGACTAAATAAGTGTGACGAACTTTTTTTGCCTTTAAAGGGGGACATGGGTTCTAAAATTTGTTTTTTTTATTTTTTGCTCAATCTTAACCAAACTTCACAACCTAAGCTAGTTTTTCATGCTGATTTCAAATCTCTAATTTGTTTCTTAATATTTCAAGTGGTTTAGAAAATATGAAGGTCTGAATCTTAATTAATTGCATACTTCTTACGGGACTTCTTGGCAATTTATTCTTGCTAAATCCAAAAAGTGAATGCATAATCCCAATGCTGGAGACTTGCTGTAGGGGGTGATGCTATTTTTATCCATTTGAAGGCATTTTATAAGCAAGAAAACGGGCGAACACTTATGGTCACTATGTTACAATAAATTTCTTTCACTAAAATCTTCAATGGTAATTTTTGAAGTGATGCTAGAAAAATAGAAATAGCATCACCCCCTAGATCCTGTCAAGACGAATAAAATGATACCAACTTTGTTGCATTCACTCAAGTTTAGCATAGGAAAAAACCCCGTAAGGCTGAGTGCAATGTGCAAAAACATCGAACTGAGAAAAACGAGTTTGAAGTTTCTAGCAACTTTAACTTTTGCTAAGTGAAGCTACAGTGATATTAATGACATCATTCTGTAGCTCTATATTATAGGATAAATGGCCATGCTAAATTTCACTGTACCCACCCAGAATACCGCTCACAGCTTGTTCTAGAACTATAAAATAGTCATTGACTCATCATGAGAATTATCATTTTTTTACTTTGTGGTCGTTCCAGTGCCTTGCAAGTGAAAGGAACACAAAAAAAAATCACGTAATAATGTTGTCCTTGGATAGACAATAGATTTACACAATGTTTAGGTATAAAACCAAGAATATTTATTTTTGCAAAAATTCTCACTATTTGCTATCATGACTGTTTACAGCAGACCAGGGCTGTAAGCAGAGTCTCCTGCTGGCTTGTGACGCTTTGAAAGTCTTTCCTTTATTGAACTGCTGTCGAGATGCTCTCTTCACGATTTTTGCAGCCTGCCCTTGTCCTTCTCAAGGCTGCGACGCATCAAGTTATTGCCAGGGCTGTAGCCCAGCTTCTCGGCAATTTCCACGTTGTTCTTGGTTGTGCCTTGGTTGAAGCGGCTGATGGCTTCGGCAACTGCCCTTTCAATGCTCCGCAAGGATGCATGCTGAGTTTTGGGGGCCTGCTGCCAAATCATAGTGTTACGGTGCATCATCGACAGGAACAAGCGTGGCACTTTGCGAAGATGAAGAAGACGCCCGTGCGTTAGGCGCTTGCGCGAGAGGCAACTCAGACATCTTGTTCGGCTGCCGATTCTCGGAGGACGCTATCCTATAAACCTAGACCTCGCCCCGTCACATGTGGTGGAGGTGCTGGGTAACCGCCTCGCAACGGAACTTCGAAGCGGCCGTCGTTTGAAGGGTCATTCCACTACGCTGACGGAAAGTACGGCGTCTGCATCTGCTCCTGGTGTTCCTGCGGCCGGAGATGATGCGGTAACTACATCTCCTTCTGCGACCACAACCTTCGTGCTCGAACCCCCGTGGGATCCTGGCACGTTCAGCGGTTCCGGCGATCCAGATGAAGTTGACGTTGAAGATTGGCTGGCAGAGTACGAACGTGTGAGTCGATACCGATGGGGCCCGACTCTAATGCTGGCGAACCAGTTATTCTATCTTAGGGGAACCGCCAAATCGTGGTATGAAAACCAAGAAACAGAACTTGGGAGTTGGGCAGTGTGCAGGGAAAAAATGCTGGACCTATTCGGAAAGCCGATTGGAAGAAAAATGGCCGCGAACAAAATGCTCGCGTCTCGGGCACAGACCTCGACCAAATCTTACGTCTCTTATATAGAAGATCTGTTATCGTTGTGTCGCATAGCCAATGCCGAGATGCCGGAGGCTGACAAGGTCAGACATATTCTTAAGGGGATTGCGGATGACCCATTCAACCGCCTCATCTGCAAAAATTTTTCTACAGTGGACGCCATTATAAAAGAATGTCGGCGCTTTGAGCAAGCGAAGAGCCGGCAGATTAACAGCGTGTTTACCCGCCTTCCGAATACGGCTGCAACGTCATCTTGCAAAAACCGTGCAAGAACACAGCCGCCACCACTAGATTCATCGGATCAGGTGACCCGAATTGTACGGCGCGAACTTGAAGCCATTGCCTCCGCTCCGGCTCACACCGCTGCAAGTGACACAACCCCACTTACTGCTAACATGGTTCAAGCCATCGTCTGCCAAGAACTCGCCAGCATAGGTATTCCCTCTGTGTGCACTTTGCCCAGCCCGCAGCGAGCTCCATGGCATCCACCCTCGTCCTATCACGAGCAGCAGTTTACGGCACGATCTCGCGACCCTGCTGCGTGGAGAACCGTCGACAATCGACCAATTTGTTTTCATTGCCACCGTATCGGTCATGTCGTCTGTTACTGCAATTACCGCTGGTCCTCGCCACCTCGGACTTCATCTCAACCTCACTACCGACAGGACAGCACCCGCTT